ATGAAGCCATATTATGACAGGGGGAGTGTGGTGTTCGGCATGTGTGGACACTGGGAGGAGCAAGGAGACGACCCTTTAGTAGATCTATTCCCTGAGACAGGAGCTGGCTCCCCCCTGGAAACAATTCCTCTCTCCGATCAGCTAACGCCTGGCCAGCAAGCTGAGATCAGAGAGGTGCTGCATCTGTACCAACAGCTCTTTTCCAACCAGCCTGGACGCACTAATCTGACTAACTAATTTATTTGAGCATGAGCTTTTGTGAGTTACAGCTCACTTCATCGGACGCATATCGTGGAAACTGCAGCAGACATTATATACACACAGAGATCATGAAACAATACCTCCTCCCACCCCACTGTCCTGCTGGTAATAGCTTATCTAAAGTGATCATCAAGTTGGGCCATTTCCAGCACAAATCCAGGTTTTCTCACCCTCCACCCCCCCCACACACAAACTCACTCTCCTGCTGGCAATAGCTCATCCAAAGTGACCACTCTCCCTACAATGTGCATGATAATCAAGGTGGGCCATTTCCAGCACAAATCCAGGTTTTCTCACCACCCCGACCCCCATACACACACAAACTCACTCTCCTGCTGGTAATAGCTCTTCCAAAGTGACCACTCTCCCTACAATGTGCATGGTAATCAAGGTGGGCCATTTCCAGCACAAATCCAGGCTTTCTTAACCCCCCCTTTCCCGGGGACACACACACACACACAAACTCACTCTCCTGCAGGAGAGTGAGTTTGTGTGTGTATGGGGGTGGGGGGAGTGAGAAAACCTGGATTTGTGCTGGAAATGGCCCACCTTGATTATCATGCACATTGTAGGGAGAGTGGTCACTTTGGATGAGCTATTGCCAGCAGGAGAGTGAGTTTGTGTGTGGGGGGGTGGAGGGTGAGAAAACCTGGATTTGTGCTGGAAATGGCCCAACTTGATGATCACTTTAGATAAGCTATTACCAGCAGGACAGTGGGGTGGGAGGAGGTATTGTTTCATGGTCTCTGTGTATATAATGTCTGCTGCAGTTTCCACGGTATGCATCCGATGAAGTGAGCTGTAGCTCACAAAAGCTCATGCTCAAATAAATTGGTTAGTCTCTAAGGTGCCACGAGTACTCCTTTTCTTTTTGTGAATACAGACTAACACGGCTGTTACTCTGAAACTAATCTGACTGTCCACCTGGTGCAGACAGGGTCGCACCCACCTTTTAGATGCTCCCCCTTCCGAGTCACAGGAAAAACTGCTCAGGATCTGGAAAGAGAGGTCCGAGACATGCTGGCTTTGGGGTGATCCAGCCATCAGCCAGCCCTTGGGCTTCGCCGGTGGTGCTGGTCCCCAGAAAGGACGGGTCGGTCCAGTTCTGTGTGGACTATCGGAAGCTCAGTGCCATCACTGTATCTGATGCCTGTCCCATGCCCAGGCCTGATGAGCTCCTCGACAAGCTGGGAGGAGCTCGGTACCTTACCACCATGGACCTTACAAAGGGCTACTGGCAAGTGCCATTGGATGCAAATGCCCGGCTGAAATCTGCCTTTTATCACCCCTCTGGGCTCTGTGAGTTCCTGGCCCTGCCTTTCGGCCTCAAGGGAGCGCCGGCCACCTTCCAGCGCCTGGTGGATCAGCTACTGAGGGGGATGGAGAGTTTTACCATGGCGTATATTGACGACATCTGTCTTTAGCCAGACCTGGGAGGACCATGTGTCCCATCTTAGACAAGTGCTGAACCGACTCCAGGAAGCTGGGCTGACCATAAATGCGGAGAAGTGCAAGGTGGGGATGGCCGAAGTATCTTACCTGGCCCACTGGTTGGGGAGCGGCTGCCTAAAGCCAGAACCAGCCAAGGTGGAGGTGATCAGAGACTGGCCCACGCCCCAAACCAAAAAGCAGGTCCAGGCCTTTATTGGGATGGCCGGGTATTATCGAAGATTTGTGCCCCACTTTAGCACCATAGCCACCCCCATCCCTGAGCTATGCAAGAAGGGGAAGCCAGACAAGGTGGTCTGGACCGAGCAGTGCCAGGAGGCTTTCCGGGCGCTGAAGGAGGCACTGGTCAGTGGCCCAGTTCTGGCAAACCCAGACTTTGACAAGCCCTTTGTGGTGTTCACCGACGCCTCAGACACGGGACTGGGGGCGGTGTTAATGCAGGAGGATGAAAAGGGGGAGAGACACCCCATCGTGTACCTGAGCAAGAAGTTGCTACCCTGGGAGGAACACTACGCGGCCATCGAGAAGGAGTGCCTGGCCATGGTGTGGGCCCTCAAGAAACTAGAGCCCTATCTCTTCGGGCAACACTTCACCGTCTACACCGACCACTCTCCCCTGACCTGGCTGCACCAGATGAAAGGAGCCAACGCCAAGCTCCTGAGATGGAGCCTGCTCCTGCAGGATTACGACATGGACGTGGTCCATGTGAAGGGAAGTGCCAACATGATAGTGGACGCATCCCGGAGAGGGGGCCCCGAACTTCCCCAGGTCACTGGTCAGTATAACCCCGCTCAGTTCAGTCTCAAAGGGGGGAGAGATGGGACGCAGCAGGGACTGAGTGGGGCGGATTGACCTGGGAATGTGGCAGGGGAGTTTACTGCCACTGTCTGACCGGTGATGAGATAGCAGGGGGTGACTTCACTGGCTGTCACCTGAGCCGGGAGGGAGGTTGGATCCAGGTGACACCTTCTGCCTGGGAAACTGGACAAAGGCTGGAGGAGGGGCTGGGGGGAGGCTGCGGGAGTCGGCTGGAGGCGTTTTGTTTTCGGAGTGGGCTGGGGAAGAAGAGGGAGCCCCCAGAGCTGGGGACTAATCTCCCTGCTCCCAAGAAGGACCTAACTAAGGGGTCCTGTTTATGCCTATAAGATCTGGTCCGGACTGTGTTCCTGTCGTCTCTAATAAACCTTCTGTTCTACCGGCTGGCTGAGAGTCATGGTGAATCGCAGGAAGTGGGAGTGCAGGGCCCTGACTCCCCCAATCTCCGTGACATATAGCACAGTCATAGAGCTGTGTTGGGAGCTGGAATGCAGTGTTGCAGTGCTGTCGTGGAGCTTTGTTGGGGGCTGGGATGCAGTGCTGCAGTGCTGTCATGGAGCTGCGTTGGGGGCTGGGATGCACTGTTGCAGTGCTGTCGTGGAGCTGTGTTGGGGGCTGGGATGCAGTGTTACAGGACAGTCGTGGAGCTGTGTTAGGGATTGGGTTGCAGTGTTACAGCACTGTCACGGAGCTGTGTTGGGTGGCTGGGATGCAGTGTTGCAGTGCTGTCGTGGAGCAGCGTTGGGGGCTGGGATGCAGTGTTGCAGTGCTCTCGTGGAGCTCTCTTGGGGGCTGGGATGAGTGTTGAGTGGTCATGGAGCGCGTTGGGGGCTGGGATGCAGTGTTGCAGTGCTGTTGTGGAGCTGTGTTGGGGGCTGGGATGCAGTGTTCCAGCATGGTCGTGGAGCTGTGTTGGGGGCTGGGATGCAGTGTTGCAGTGCTGTCGTGGAGCTGCTTTGGGGGCTGGGATACAGTGTTGCAGTGCTGTCGTGGAGCTGCGTTGGGGGCTGGGATGCAGTGTTCCAGCATGGTCGTGGAGCTGTGTTGGGGGCTGGGATGCAGTGTTGCAGTGCTGTCGTGGAGCTGTGTTGGGGGCTGGGATGCAGTGTTGCAGTGCTGTCGTGGAGCTGCGTTGGGGGCTGGGATGCAGTGTTGCAGTGCTGTCATGGAGCTGCGTTGGGGGCTGGGATGCAGTGTTGCAGTGCTGTCGTGGAGCTGCGTTGGGGGCTGGGATGCAGTGCTCCAGCATGGTCGTGGAGCTGCGTTGGGGGCTGGGATGCAGTGCTCCAGCATGGTCGTGGAGCTGCGTTGGGGGCTGGGATGCAGTGCTCCAGCATGGTCGTGGAGCTGCGTTGGGGGCTGGGATGCAGTGCTCCAGCATGGTCGTGGAGCTGTGTTGGGGGCTGGGATGCAGTGCTCCAGCATGGTCATGGAGCTGTGTTGGGGGCTGGGATGCAGTGTTGCAGTGCTGTCGTGGAGCTGCGTTGGGGGCTGGGATGCAGTGCTCCAGCATGGTCGTGGAGCTGTGTTGGGGGCTGGGATGCAGTGTTGCAGTGCTGTCGTGGAGCTGCGTTGGGGCTGGGATGCAGTGTTGCAGTGCTCTCGTGGAGCTGCGTTGGGGGCTGGGGTGCAGTGTTGCAGTGCTCTCGTGGAGCTGCGTTGGGGGCTGGGGTGCAGTGTTGCAGTGCTCTCGTGGAGCTGCGTTGGGGGCTGGGGTGCAGTGTTGCAGTGCTCTCGTGGAGCTGCGTTGGGGGCTGGGGTGCAGTGTTGCAGTGCTCTCGTGGAGCTGCGTTGGGGGCTGGGATGCAGTGTTACAGACTGTCAGGAGTGTGTTGGGTGGCTGGGATGCAGTGTTGCAGTGCTCTCGTGGAGCTGCGTTGGGGGCTGGGGTGCAGTGTTGCAGTGCTCTCGTGGAGCTGCGTTGGGGGCTGGGGTGCAGTGTTGCAGCGCTCTCGTGGAGCTGCGTTGGGGGCTGGGATGCAGTGTTGCAGTGCTCTCGTCACGGAGCTGTGTTGGGTGGCTGGGATGCAGTGTTACAGCACTGTCACGGAGCTGTGTTGGGTGGCTGGGATGCAGTGTTGCAGTGCTCTCGTGGAGCTGCGTTGGGGGCTGGGGTGCAGTGTTGCAGTGCTCTCGTGGAGCTGCGTTGGGGGCTGGGGTGCAGTGTTGCAGTGCTCTCGTGGAGCTGCGTTGGGGGCTGGGGTGCAGTGTTGCAGCGCTCTCGTGGAGCTGCGTTGGGGGCTGGGGTGCAGTGTTGCAGCGCTCTCGTGGAGCTGCGTTGGGGGCTGGGGTGCAGTGTTACAGCACTGTCACGGAGCTGTGTTGGGTGGCTGGGATGCAGTGTTACAGCGCTGTCACGAAGCTGTGTTAGGGATTGTGATGCAGTGTTACAGCACTGTCATGGAGCTGTGTTGCAGCACATCTGTGCTGTGGGCATGTTGTGTTACTTTACTGCTTTTTTTCCTTGTTTGCAGTCCAACCCAGTGATGATTGATGCCAAAGAGGTGTCTGCAGCGCACAGGGCCCGGTACTTCTGGGGTAACCTTCCCGGTATGAACAGGTTGGTGAGAGCATGGTGAGAGAACCCCGAGTTTTGGGCCGTTTGCTTCTTGCATGATAGCGGAGCAGGGGCCGGGGGATTGCCAGCCAGCATAATTCATTTTAATCGTGCCTCTTCGAACCAGCCTTTGGAGCCCTTCAGCCCCTTAGCACTCAGCCTATTCTCTGTTGTTCGGTGCTACTGTAGGCATGAAGGGGCCAGGTCACCCGTGTGTGCTCCGAGCAGGGCACCCCAAGGCCGTGAGGAGTGCGGGTAATCGGGTTGTAGATTTCACTCCCAGCTCTTTGCCCTCCACTCTGCAGAGCAGCCTTTGGGGGCACATGGGAGCTCAGAACTCCTGATTTCTACCCTGAGCACATCCCCACAAAGAGACAAAGTCCCAGGCTCCTCTCTTCACCAGGAATCCCGGCGTGGCTCCCACCAGCATAGCTCAGCCCTTTCCGTTCGAGGAACGTTCCTTGTGTGTTCCCATGGCCCTCGGCACCTGACGCTCACTCTTTGCACGGGCAGAGCACTGAGAGCCCAGGCCAGGGAGCCAGGACTCCTGGGTTCTCTTTCAGGCTTTGACACGAGCTCCCTCTTTGACCCTAGTCGAGTCCTTTCCCCTTGTGTGCCTCAGTGTCCTCCTCTGTAAGATGAGGATGAGACTTCAGCCAGCGCAGGGGGCAGGGCAGACGCGTTGTGAGTGTTTGTGAAGTGCTGGGTGGTGGCGTTTGTGGTCCCATTCTGAGCAGGGCCAGAGTCAGCGGGGGAGAGGCAGAGAGTGATGTCCCTGCAGCAGCAGTGTGATCAGAGGGGCATGAGTGACTCCACCGAGCAGGAGGTTGTAACTGGCTCTCCTGCCTCTGGCGGAGGAAGTGGCGAGGCTGAATCACCTGGAAATTCTCCAGATTGGTCCAGGAGCTGCTTTCTCCAGCACACCACCACCACCCCGTTGCTAATGGATCGGTCCAGAAGCTGCTGTCTCCTCCCCCACCACCCCGTTGCTAATGGATCGGTCCAGAAGCTGCTGTCTCCTCCCCCACCACCCCGTTGCTAATGGATCGGTCCAGGAGCTGCTCTGCTTCCTCAGGTCATTGCCAGTGCGGAGCTGCTCTGCCTCCTCCCCTCTGTCCAGGAGCTGCTCCGCCTCCTCCCTGCATTGCTAATGGGTTGGTCCACAAGCTGCTCCATTTCCTCCCCCCTATGCTAATGGATTGGTCCACGAGCTGCTGTCTCCTCCCCCACCACCCCATGGCTAATGCATCAGTGCACTGTATGCTCCACTTCCCCCCCCCCCGATGGATTGACCCAGGAGCTGCTCCATTGTTAATAGATCAATTCATGAGCTACTTCAGCTGCTTTCTCCCTCCCATTGCTAATGGACCAGTCATAGAATCATAGCAGATCAGGGTTGGAAGGGACCTCAGGGGGTCACCTAGTCCCACCCCTTGCTCAAAGCAGGACCAATCCCCCGACTAAATCATCCCAGCCAGGGCTTTGTCAAGCTGGGCTTTAAAAACCTCTAAGGATGGAGATTCCACCACCTCCCTAGGGAACCCATTCCAGTGCTTCACCACCCTCCTAGTGAAATGGTGTTTCCTAATATCCAGCCTAGACCTCCCCCACTGCAACTTGAGACCACTGCTCCTTTCTCAGTCATCTGCCACCACTGAGAACAGCCGAGCTCCATACTCTTTGGAACCCCCTTCAGGTAGTTGAAGGCTGCTATCAAATCCCCCCTCATTCTTCCCTTCTGCAGACTAAACAAGCCCAGTTCCCTCAGCCTCTTCCCATAAGTCATGTACCCCAGCCCCCTAATCATTTTTGTTGTCCTGTGAATGACTCTCTAATTTGTCCACATTCTTTCTGTAGTGGGGGGCCCAAAACTGGACACAGCACTGCAGATGTGGCCTCACCAGTGTGGAACAGAGGGGAATAATCACTTCCCTTGATCTGCTGGCAATGGTCCTACTAATGCAGCCCAATATGCCGTTAGCCTTCCTGGCAACAAGAGCACACTGTTGACTCATATCCAGCTTCTCGTCCACTGTCACCCCTAGGTCCTTTTCTGCAGAACGGCCGCTTAGCCATTCGGTCCCTAGTCTGTAGCTGTGCATTGGGTTCTTCCGTCCTAAGTGCAGGACCCTGCACTTATCCTTATTGAACCTCATCAGATTTCCTTTGGCCCAATCCTCCAATTTGTCTAGGTCACTCTGGACCCTATTCCTACCCTCCAGCTTATTTACCTCTCCCCCCCAGCGTAGTGTCATTCTGCCTGGTTCAGAATTACCTCACACTGGGATGCTTTTCAGGCCAGGGCTAGCAGGGACAATGCCATGGAGACCAACCTTCCTCCCAATACCACCCCTGATTCCCCCAGCCTTCCCCCTCCACAGACATGGACTCTGATCCATATGGATCACCCATGAAAGAACTTCCTTGGGATGGGGGAAGCTCTCCTCTTTCACAGCCCATGGAGGATACACAGATTTGAGTCCTTTCTAATAGCAACATCCACTTTCGTTAGGAGACTTCATTCCATCCTGGCAGATAAGGACTTGGCCGTGGTTAGTCACACCTTCATCATCCCATGTCTGGACAACAGCAATGCAATATACCTGGGCACAAAGCCATCAAAGTCAATGCTTCCTCACCCCCATTGCTAATGGACCAGCCCATGAGCTGCTTTCTCCTCCCCATTGCTAATTAATCAGTCCATGCTTCCTCACCCTCATTGCTAATGGACCAGCCCATGAGCTGCTTTCTCCTCTCCATTGCTAATGAATCAGTCCATGAGTGTCTCTGCTTCTTCCCCCTATTGCTAATGCTTTGGTCCATGAGCTGCTGTACCTCCTCCCCCCATGGTTAATGAATAGATCCTTGAGTTACTCTACCTCCTTACCCCATTGCTAATGGATCGGTCCACGAGCTGCACCACTTCTTTTCCCCCCATTGATAATGGATTGGTCCATGAGCTGTTCCCCCTCCCCCATGGGTAGGATGGGCCCACAAGGTTGCCCGGGGGCCTTTATGGGGCAAGCAGGTGGTCGGTGGCACTGTGTGCTGGGAGTCCTGCACAGCCCTGGGCTGTTGGCACTACCAGCGGGCCCTCACCTGCCCCACTGCACGGCCAGCCCCCTTCGGGTGTACGGCCAGCCCCCATAGGGGATACGGCCACCGTGGGTGCGACCAGCCCCCGTAGGGCATACAGGCGCCATGCGTGCGGCCAGCCCCCATAGGGGATATGGCCACCGTGGGCACGGCCAGCCCCCGTAGGGCATACAGGCGCCATGCGTGCGGCCAGCCCCCATAGGGGATACGGCCACCGTGGGCACGGCCAGCCCCCGTAGGGGATACAGGCGCCATGCGTGCGGCCAGCCCCCATAGGGGATACGGCCACCGTGGGCATGGCCAGCCCCCGTAGGGCATACAGGCACCATGGGCGCGGCCAGCCCCCATAGGGAATACGGCCACCGTGGGCACGGCCTGCCCCCGTAGGGGATACGGCCGCCATGGGCACGGCCAGCCCCCATAGGGGATACGGCCACCATGGGCACGGCCAGCCCCCGTAGGGCATACAGGCGCCATGCGTGCGGCCAGCCCCCATAGGGGATACGGCCACCGTGGGCACGGCCAGCCCCCGTAGGGGATACAGGCGCCATGCGTGCGGCCAGCCCCCGTAGGGGATACGGCCACCATGGGCACGGCCAGCCCCCGTAGGGCATACAGGCGCCATGGGCGCGGCCAGCCCCCATAGGGGATATGGCCACCGTGGGCACGACCAGCCCCCGTAGGGCATACAGGCGCTATGCGTGCGGCCAGCCCCCATAGGGGATACAGCCACCGTGGGCACGGCCAGCCCCCGTAGGGGATACGGGTGCCATGGGCACACGGCCAGCCCCCCTAGGGCATACAGATGCTGTGTGCGAGGGGCATGGGTGGGAGCCCAGCCCCCTGGCGGGCGCACCTGGAACATAGCAGCAGCACTGAGTGCAGGGTTAATGCCCGTTCTCAACCTCCCGCCCTTTTGTCTCCTAGGCCTTTGGCATCTACAGTGAACGATAAGCTGGAACTTCAGGAGTGCCTGGAGCACGGCAGGATAGCAAAGGTCAGTGCCTGAGCCTCCGTGGGGCAGCCAGGAGGTGCTGGAGCATAGCCCTGGGAGTTGGGCCGTGCCTCCTCTGGGCCTTTTCCGGGTGCTGTCCCGACCCAGGGCAGCATCAGCCCCTGTGCCGAAGTGGGAGGGGGCACGCACTGCACTGTGTCGCTTTGGGATTCAGGCCAAGGTGGGGCCATGGCCAACAGGGTGGGCCACAGCCAACCAGTATGGGGAGCAGATCCCAGCCAGCAGGGTGGGGCAGTGGGGGGCAGAGCAGGCCCAGTGAGGCAGGCAGAGGGGGCCAGACGTGGGGCACACTTTGGGAGCGGTTGGGAATACCCGCACCAGGAGATGGGACCTATGACATTTGTGCTGCTCTTGGAAGCGGGGGAAAGGCACCTGCTTTGGCCCTGATGGACGTCAGAGGAAGATGCTCAGCTCGCTCCCCAAGGAGTGGCTCTGCCCCAGCACGTGGGCTCACTTGAGACAGGATTCCTGTTCTGCCCTTCCATGGCCACGCAGTCACCACAGCGGAGCACGGGAGGGTAGCAAGGGGCTTGGGGGGATGCTGGTGATTCCAGCCCCCCAGCCTGGCTTCAGGCAGGACCTAGTGACCAGGAGAGGGGAGGGACAGACTAGCCCAGCTGCTGCCAAGGGGCCAGGCCGGATATGGGAACTCCACCCTCGCCCCAGAGCGAGTCCGGAGCCAGCAGAGGATGGGGATAAATCAGAATCATTCAGTGGCCCCACGAAGGTCTGGGCCAGCAAGAGACCTGAGGCTGCTCTGAGCAGACAGGCGCCCTCGGAGCAGCTCTTGGGGGCTGCCCAGCTGGGCCCCCATCTAGGCCATGTTAGCCGGGGCGGGGGAAGTGGCTACGGCTCTGGTTTGCTCAGAACGTTGCTTTGTCCCTTCTAGTTCAGCAAAGTGCGAACTATCACCACTCGCTCCAACTCCATCAAGCAGGGCAAGGACCAGCATTTCCCCGTCTTCATGAACGAGAAGGAGGACATCCTGTGGTGCACGGAGATGGAGAGGTACTGCTGGCCTGCGGGGGTGGGGCGGCTCCCTGGGTTTGCACCGTCTCTGGGATGGTCTCCCAGGGCGGCTGGGCCCTGTCTGCGCCGGTGCCTGGGAAAGGAGGCCTGGGGACTCGTACTGCTGGTTGTGCTGGAGGACTTGGATGGCTCTGAATGCACCAGGGGAGCTCTGTTGTTAGGGGCCGAGGGGGAGCTGAATCTCAGAGCGGGAGCTCGTTTGTTGGCATGAAGCAAACCAAGGTCTCTTAGCCTGACCGACTCCATGATCGAGCTTCATGTTCTTCACCTGCCACTTCTCCAGCAGGCAGCACAGCCCTGGACACACACACAAGCCCCCTCTGCAGCTCTGCTTTGCAGGTCACAGAGAAGCCAAGCAGGGCCCCAGCCTAGTCTTGGCCTTCGCAAGCCCATCTGTCTGTCTAGGTTTTCTCACCGAGCCCGTCACCGTGGTGTCTGAGCACCTTTACAGTGTACCGATGTGGACCCGAGAACGTTACCGTCAAGCCCGGATCCTGCCAGGTGCTAAGTGGCTCCAAGTAGGAGGATTCCTGGGGCAGGAAATCAGCTAACCTGTGTTCTTCCTGTTCCCTCCTTTCCATGCAGGGTCTTTGGCTTCCCGGTTCATTACACAGATGTCTCCAACATGAGCCGCCTGGCCCGGCAGAGACTGCTCGGCAGATCTTGGAGCGTGCCGGTGATCCGCCATCTCTTTGCTCCCCTGAAGGAATACTTTGCCTGCGTGTAAGACACACAGGAACTAGTGAAGTGGAACGAATCAGATGAGAAGAGAAGTGAAAATGTGGAACAAGAGAAAAATCAGCACCCAGAAGAGAGAAAGGATTAAACCCGATGGGAATCCACCGCGTCTCCCCAAGCGAAAGGGTTCGGTGTCCTCTCCTGAATTTTCAATGTTCAGCTTTTAGCCTATTTAAAAAAAAACAAAAACCGGTTTTTTTTGGTAACCTTTTAATTTTCCGCTCTTTTCTGGATGGGTTTTTCTGTTAGTTTGGTTTCTGCTTCTCGAAGCTGCGAGCGAGGCGAAAGGCTTTCCCGAGCTTGTGAGCAAGCGCTGTCGTAGCAGGAGGGCAAAGCCAGCAGGAAACACTAGCAGAAACCCAAGCCTAGAGAGGGGGACGCGAAGGAAAGGTTCTGCCGACCTGTCGCTCTGAGCTCGAGTTTTGTCTCTGGTCTGGTGAGCGTAGGAGCACCCAGCAGGGAGTGCTCAGCCTGCGCCGTAACTTCCAGCACTGAGCCTTACTTACTTCTACCAGCACCATCACTGGTGATGCAAAGCAAAACCAACTAGCAGGGAAGCCAAGAACACGCACCACACCACACACTTTTCTACAGTATTTCGGGTGCCTACCACACAGGAAACCTTGAAGAAAGCAGATCCTAGATGCCGCTGTTACCTCTTGTTTACAGTTTATATATATACGGCAGGTGTGAGCGCGAGCTAGCTAGATAGATATATAAAAGGTACTGTTACTACTGTACATCCTGACTTCATAATGGTGCTTTTCAACAGCGGGGTGAGTCAAAACATCAGCTTCCACGTTGCCTTACGTGCCAGGGCTTTCCGCAGGGGGGACCATGCAGACTCAGTGCCGGGGGCAGGGGAGGCACTGGTCCCCCGCCCCCGGGCAGTGCGGGGGAGGGACGGGAGGCAGTCTCCGTCCCACGTCATGCAATAACCTTTTTATTTTCGAAAAGGAAGGCCCCCCTCCCACGCACTGGGGAGAAGCGGGTCCGGGGCTGCCCCCGCCCACCCGCAGGGGCCGGGGGGAGAGAAAGCCCTCGCCAGAGAATAACAACACACAAACGTACTGGTGCTTTTCTGTGTACGTCGCCTTTGGGTGTTCTTTTCCGAGGGGCTCCCCTCCCCTGGCCTGAGGCTGGGGTGCAGCACCGGGCAGAGCGATGCTTTGGGTCACCTCCGAACTCACAGGCTGCAGTTTTATACTGAGAAGCTGATGCCATCTTTGATTCTTCTTGTCTCTTTGTTGTAGAATGAAGAACTCGTCTGTAGGTTCATGCCGAGGTGGGAGGAGGGCCGGGCAGACGCCCCCCATTGCTCATCCAGGCCTGGGGGTGCAGGGCAGAGCTTTGGCTGCCCTGTGGGGTGCTCCCGGCCCAGCGGGGAGGCTGGTTCTCTCTTTTTGTGGACGCTGTGAATTCTGTTTCTTTTAGTACTTGATTGAACTGCAGCTGTGCGGTCCCTTCCCATCGGCCACCAGCGCGCTGCCCCTCACTCCTCGCGGCCTGGGCGGAGGGCGCATTCTCTGTGGGGCAGGAAGTGGGCAAGGGCTAGACTAGGAATCGCACTGGCAGGCCCCCCTGAGGGAGAATCCCCCCAGCAGAGCCAGGAGAGCAGCATCTCCAGAGGGGCTCCACCTCTGTTCCTGGATTCCAGGGGCTGGGGGCCCAGTGCCAGCCCGACAGCCTGGGCAGGCAGAGCAGAGGCAGCTTTCCCCCTGGCGTGTGCCTATGCAGCACGCCGGGGGAAGCCGGCAGGTGCCGCAGGCACTCAGGTGGGCAAGCATCCGCTGCAGAGCAGTGCCAGCTGGGCCAGGCTGAGATCCCAGAGGGAGCTCTAGGCCGGCCGGGGGTGTGGTACATTCAGGGGGGCACATGGCCAAAGCTAACCGATCCAGGCCTTGTGCCCTGCTGTATGTGGGCATGGCCCTAGCACAGCCAGTTGGCACCAGTGGATCATCTGGCCCTCCAGGGGCATTTGCTGGCATGGCCTGGAAGAGCGGGCATGGAAGGAGCTTGGTGTCTGTCTTGGCCTCTCTGCTGAGCCTGCCAGGGGAGAGCAGCTGTGAGGGGCTTTCCCAGCATGCGGAAGTGTTGTCCCGCGGGCAGACGCCCCGGCCTGAGTCTTGTCACAAGGGCACTGACCAGCCACCATCTCGATAACTTCCCTGCGCTGCCATTGGCCCGCCCCCTCAGTAACGCCCACCCCGCCCTGCGCATTGGCCCGCCCCCTCAGTAACGCCCACCCTGCCCTGCGCTGCCATTGGCCCGCCCCCTCAGTAATGCCCACCCCGCCCTGCGCATTGGCCCGCCCCCTCAGTAACGCCCACCCCGCCCTGCGCTGCCATTGGCCCGCCCCCTCAGTAACGCCCACCCCGCCCTGCGCTGCCATTGGCCCGCCCCCTCAGTAACGCCCACCCCGCCCTGCGCTGCCATTGGCCCGCCCCCTCAGTAACGCCCACCCTGCCCTGCGCTGCCATTGACCCGCCCCCTCAGTAACGCCCACCCCGCCCTGCGTATTGGCCTGCCCCCTCAGTAATGCCCCTCCCCCGCCCATTGACCTGCCCCCTCAGTAATGCCCCTCCCCTGCCCATTGACCTGCTCTTTTGGAGGCGCCTGGGGCTTGTCTACATGGCTAATTACTGCACTGGGTGTGACTACAGCCACCCGCTTGCCAGGCAGCGGCAGCAGCTCCGTCCTGCGTGGGCCCTGCCGCAGCACGGGACGTCCCCGCTCTGCTGCTGGGCAGGGCCTTGCCCTGGAGACAAGCCTGAGGCTCCTTTTGAAAATATTTTTAATGGAATTTTAAAACCAGGCTAAGGAAATTCCCTCCCTCCTGCCCGTGCCAGAGCGTGAGTGCGCCCACACGTCCATGCTGCGCCCATGCCGCCCGGCCCCAGCTCGCCCGCACGCCGTCGAGCTGTGTGACGGGACCGTGCGGTGGGGAGCACGCGGCCCCCTCGGGGCCTGACTCACCGGTGACACAAGCTGGCTCCAGCTGCCCGCCCGGGGGGTGATTCCACAGCGCTTGGCACTGGCCTCGCCACTCCTGGGGGAGGCAGCGGTGAGACTCCCGAAGCCAGGCCAGTGCCAAGCGCTGCAGAATCCTCCCGCCGTGTGCCGAGGGGCCCGGCTTTAATGCCGCAGGCTGGGCAGTGGTGGCACACGCACCCCCCGCGAGGACGGAGGGACACTGCCCACCCCCGACAGACAGTCAGAACCGCACCCCTGTACCCACGCGGCCGACCGAACCTTGTCTTCCCACCGCGAAGCAGCCCCCAGTGGAACATGTACACAACACAGACAGCGGGACCCCCCCTGCGCGCACGCTGACAGCGGGGGACACCCCCCCCCTGCGCACACACACACAGACAGCGGGACCCCCCCTGCGCGCACGCTGACAGCGGGGGACACCCCCCTCTGCGCACACACACACAGACAGCGGGACCCCCCCCCTGCGCGCACGCTGACAGCGGGGGACACACACACCCCCTGCGCACACACTGACAGCGGGGGACACCCCCCCCTGCACACACACTGACAGCGGGGGACACACACACCCCCTGCGCGCACACTGACAGCGGGACACACCCCCCTCTGTGCACACACACACAGACAGCGGGACCCCCCCCCTGCGCGCACGCTGACAGCGGGGGACACACACACCCCCTGCGCACACACTGACAGCGGGACACCCCCCCCCTCTGCGCACACACACACAGACAGCGGGACACCCCCCCTGCGCGCACGCTGACAGCGGGGGACACACACTGACAGCGGGGGACACACACTGACAGCGGGACACCCCCCCCCCCCCCCCCGCGCGCACACTGACAGCGGGACACACACACCCCTCTGCGCACACACTGACAGCGGGACACACCCCCCTCTGCGCACACACACACAGACAGCGGGACCCCCCCCCTGCGCACACACTGACAGCGGGACACACACACTGACAGCGGGACACACCCCCGCGCGCACACTGACAGCGGGACACACACCCCCTCTGCGCGCACACTGACAGCGGGACACACACCCCTCTGCGCGCACGCTGACAGCGGGGGACACACACTGACAGCGGGACACACACACACCCCCCGCGCACACTGACAGCGGGACACACACCCCCCTCTGCGCACACACTGACAGCGGGACACACCCCCCTCTGCGCACACACACACAGACAGCGGGACACCCCCCCCCCCGCGCACACACTGACAGCGGGGCGCACACACTGACAGCGGGACACACACACTGACAGCGGGACACACCCCCCCCCCGCGCGCACACTGACAGCGGGACACACACACTGACAGCGGGACACCCCCCCTGCGCGCACACTGACAGCGGGACACACCCCCCCCTGCGCGCACGCTGACAGCGGGACACACCCCCCCTGCGCGCACGCTGACAGCGGGACACACCCCCCTGCGCGCACACTGACAGCGGGACACACACCCCCTCTGCGCGCACACTGACAGCGGGACACACACCCCCTGCGCGCACACTGACAGCGGGACACACCCCCCTGCGCGCACACTGACAGCGGGACACACACCCCCTCTGCGCGCACGCTGACAGCGGGACACACCCCCCTCTGCGCACACTGACAGCGGGACACACCCCCCTGCGCGCACACTGACAGTGGGACACACACACTGACAGCGGGACCCCCCCCTCTGCGCGCACACTGACAGCGGGACACACACACTGACAGTGGGACACACCCCCCCGCGCACACACTGACAGCGGGACACACCCCCCCCCTGCGCGCACACTGACAGCGGGACCCCCCCCCCTGCGCGCACACTGACAGTGGGACACACACACCCCCCGCGCACACTGACAGCGGGGGACACACACTGACAGCGGGCCCCCCCCCCGCGCACACACAGCAGGAACGAACACACACGTCTGAGCACATGCGGACGGTGGAACACGCAAACCTGTCTGAGCGCTCGTAGACACACCCACACCCCCCGACGAGCACGCGCACGCACACCCCCAGAGCGTGGAACACGCTCACCCCCAGAGGAGCCTGCGCGCACATGCGGACTGGGGAACACTCCACCCCATATGCACATGAAGACAAAGGACCCGGCATGCCTGGCCAGTGGCGGCCCCGTGTCCCCGTACACACAGACTGTGGCATTCCCTCCCCCACGTGGACAGTGTCCCCCCCCTCGTGCATGCGCACGTGGACAGTGGAGCACCCCAGCCCCATGGTGCACACTCGGCCGGCCCCCTGCGCCCACGGGAGCGGTGGCACACGCAGCCGGGCTGTATGCGCAGGCCGTGGGCACGGGCAGGACCCTGCAACGCCCCTGGTGTGCTCACATGCACACGCTGGCAGGCTGGGTTAGCGCAGGGACTTGGGAGGGCTCTGGCCCTGCCCAGCTGCAGGTCATCACTCGCCCCCGGCCGGGCTGGGGTCACAGATCCCAGCCCCAGATTCTCGCATTCCCTTTAAGGGCCGTTCTCCACCCACCCGCACGGGGCTGCTGACTCCCCCGCCCCCCCCGCGCCAGCCAGCGGCTATTGGCTTGGTGAGACGTGCCTGGGTCATCTCTGCATACGGGCGTGGGGCACCCCCTGAGAGTGGCTCCGTGACCAGCCTGGTGGGAGTGGGGCAGGAGCCCTGCCTTGCCCAGCACCTGAGCACGCTGCCTGGGGCAGTGACGTCACAGACTGTCCCAGGCACTGTTTGCAGTCCAGCCCCCCACCCCATGTCATGGGGGCCAGGGGCCCACTCTCCATTTCAGACGTAGGGCCTCTGTTGGCTCTCGCTGCACTGGGCTTGGCTGTGGGAGCGGCCCCTGCCTTCACCCTGAGTCAAAATAGACCCTCGGGGGGCCAGTGAGTGCACATGCCCCACTGCGTGGGGGGCAGCCCCCTTCAAAGCCATAGACGCAGGGATCTGCTGAGGGGAACCGAGGGGGGTCCTGGGCACAGGGGGGTCCTGCCTGCGTCCCTCCCCCAGGGCACACGGGGCCAGGGCCGCGGCGGGCAGTGGGAAGGGCCGGTGCAGCTCGGCTCGCTCGCAGGACAGGGGGCGGCTCAAACGCCTCAGGCAGTTACCCCAGCCCCCGGGCAAGGTGCCCGGGGAGCCGCAGTGGCCCACGCAGCTGCCGGTGACCTGCCCTCACCCGCTGCCAGCCCACGGAAAAGCCAGGAGCTGCTGTGTCAGCCCCGGGCCGTTAGCTGTCCCCACCCCTGCTCCGGCAGGACTAGACCTGCCCTGGGAAGCCTCCCCAGCCCCCTCAGGCCTCCTGCCCGTTGTGGCTGCATTGGCCCGTGGGAAAGGACCTGCCGCACCGTGCGCAGGACGGGAGGGCGGAGCTGGGGCTTGGACCCACCCCAAGGTGCTCAGGAGCAACAGCGTGAGGCCTGGTGTCTCAGAGCAGGTGTCGGTGCCATGGCAGCCCACCCACCCCAGTGCTTCCCCTCCTCGCTGCGCCAGCCCGCAGCATGAGCTGCGTGGCCGAGGCCTCCGAGCTGGGAGGAGCCCTGGGCCGAGCGCTCCCAGGGTCCCCTGGGGAGGGAGGGTCCGTGCAGCACAGCCCCCTTGGCGCTTGGGGCAAAGGGAGGTCATGTCCCGGGGCCAGTTCTTAAAGGAAAACTGCAGGGCTTGGTGCTAAAGCGCAGGGGGTCGGGCGGCTCGCCGCAATCCCTGTCGCTGTCTCGCTCCCCATAACTGTGAATGGTGCCGGGGTCTCTCAGGGCCTGACACTTCTCTCTGCTGGGCAGGGCAGGGTGCCGCAGGTGGAAGGGGTGGCTACCGGGGCCTGCCTGTGGGTGCTTGCTAATGTCACAGCAGGTCCACCTCGAAAGGAGGGTAGCGCGTCCCTTCCAGCAGCTGGCCCTGCCGGGCAGCCCCCCCACTCCCTGCCCTGCCTCTCGGGCACTCTCATGGCAGCTTCCCGGGGCACTGGGGTCTCTCTCGTGGTTTGCTCTTCTCTACAACTCGCTGGGGAGGGAGTTTGAGTCTCTTATTCACGTTGCAGTTTTCCTTTAACAGTGGGGGCAGGGGCTGCCCCCCGAGAGGCAGCACGGGCCTGGCACGGCCTAGCACGCACAGCTCGCGAAGGGAGACGGCCGTGGGAGGGGTCAGCCATGGGCGCTTCTGCTCTCCTAGTCTCTCTACCATGGGACTGGTGCTAAGTGGGGAATCTGTGAACCCCCATAACTGTGCATGAACACTGGGGGGAGGTTGCGGGGCCGAGCCAGCGTGAGGTCGCGGAGGGAGGGAGGGCGGGCGCTGCAGGCCGAGCAGAGCCGCGTTCGCAGCTCTGGCCCTTTAATCTTTACATTTTGGTAAAGGCGGCAGGACATGGGCCCCAGGCTCCCACCCTCCTGCCCGGGTCTCAGCAGAGACCTGCGGAGCCGTCGCTTTCCCAACCTCTTGTTCCGCTGCGAGCCTGGCAATGCGAAACTTGGGGAGGCCTGGGGCCCAGCACCACCCTCCCACCAGCTTTCCACCAGGAGCCACCACTGGCTGCAAGGGGCAGCTCCTGCGTGAGGCTGGTGTGAATGTGGGGGAACCAGGCTGCAGGGGGGTGCAGGGACCCCCCATGGCAGAGCCCGGTGGGTAAAGCAGGTTCCTGTTGCTCCACAAACTGGAAACTCTGGGAATGGCCCTTTGGCAGCGTTTTCAGGCAGTTTGTTTTCCAGATTCCCCAGTCCCCGTCTCCGGGAGCACCGGACACAAGCCACCCGGTTCCCAGCCTGTAGCCTCGGGACACAGACGGGGAGAATTAAGGTTTTTAAAATACCCAACACACTCTTTTTTTTAAAAAAGCAAAAAGCAAATTTTGTTGCACAGCCCTGTATCGAAAACAAAAAAGCCTAAATTCCTTAGAAATCCGCCGAGGGAGTAGGTGACAAACAAGGTGCTAAAACATTTTATTAAAAATCTATATTGTTAAATTAAGTCTGCTGTCTGGACAATGACTGTTTGTTTTGTTTTCTTGTGGAGTTTCAAAGAGCACTATTATTGTTTTACTCTTCTATATTATTATTAAAAAACAAAAAGGCATTTTAACTTTGTACTTGAAAACGAAATGAGAGATTTCATGTGTTTTAGCCTAGGCATTGAAGTAGCTGATGCTTAACTATTTGTGGGAAATCATTTATTCATACTGAAGAATAAACGCTGTAGAGACGTTGGTAATAACGTTGACTGTTCCCTATGATTTGGCTTGAGCCCCCAGCGCTAGGACCTTTCTAGTGTACATTCCATGCAGCTAACACCCACCTCCCCCCCGCTTTTCTTTTTCTTTCTTTCCTTTTTTATGATTAGGGTTATTCTGGTTTCTGGTTCCAGCATCCTTCAGCCGCTATGTTTTGGTTTTTTTAGGGTTGCTTCTATATTTATTGACAATAAATAATGTACATTTCACAGTATGGTTCTGCGACCTGGCGGGAAGGGGCCCCGCGGCCTCTCCCGCCCCGGTGTTCTGTTGTATCTCTGTGTAAGTATTGCTCGTGACATAGCTGTTATGAACTAATTAAAAAGGTCAATGCGTGCAGCAGATGTAGGAAGTCTGTCCGTTTCGCCTTCATCCCATTTCTTTTTTCTTTGGTGCCCAGAAGAATATACGAAAGAAAAGCTCCTTTCTAATGTACTTGTGCTGGAGAACACTTGAATAAATGTACTGTTTTTGTGCAAAAAAAGGAAAAAAAAAAAAGAAAAAAGTCCCACGGTCATGTGCTTTGTGTCGCCTCCTCTTGTCTTGGTGCGCGGGGTCCTTGGCACTGCGGGTGCCCGTCGGTCCCATCTGTGCCGCTGTCTGATCTCACTAGTCAGGCCCTGCCCCTGGGCACAGGGGAGCCGTGAGCTCGAGGACGTTACAGCCAGCCAACCCCAGCAGCTGCAGCACCCGTTTGTAAGTAGGTTTGTGTGTGACCTGAGGGTGGGGGCGTTGACGCCGCTCCTCTGCCCGTATTGCGGTCCAGGCCCCGCTCCCGGCAGGTGCTTAGCTTTAAATCCCACCGAGTCCAGCAGAGCCATTGTGGATCGGCATGTCATGCACTCCCAGCATGCTGGGGGCACACCTCGCGCCAGTTGCCTCCTGGGCACACACCTGCTGAGGGAAACAAGCCTTGGCCTCACGGCATCAGGCAGGGCAGGTGGCCGGGGCCTCTGAGCGCTGGCTCCTGGGGTGAATTCTTGCTGCAGACCCTTCTGTGAGAACAGGCGCCCCAGGTAATTAGACCAGGAGGAGAACTTGGCAACCCGAGCTGATCTGCTGCTGCAAAGCCTGGCCCAGGGAGACCCGCCCTGTGGAGCCGTCTGGCTGGCCTACTGCCAGTGCTTGCCACAAAGCCGCGCCTTTTCCATCCTGTGCCGCTGGGTCCAGTCCCTCCCCCGGCCCCTCCACTCCGCTCCGCCCCGCCCCCTCCAATCTGCCATACGCTTCATTTGTGTTCCATGGCAGACCCCGATTCCGGCTCCTGCTCCATCTCTGCCGCCCCCGTGGGTGCTAACGCCGCCTGCCCTCCCGGGCCCTGGCCCTTCGGTACCGCCCTGGGCGGCGCGCCCGTCTCTGCCGGCACGCCTGACCTCCGCTTCCTGGCGCCCACCCGGGATTCAGTGAGGCTCACAAACCCGTAGGTGTGCTGGAAAGGGGTTGCCACGGCGCAGGATCCCGAATCCGCTGTCCACAGCGTGAGACCCAGGCCACTGTCTGGCGCAATAGGCCAGGAGCTGAGAGCAGGAGGAGGACGTGGCCGGTGAGAATTGGCAGCTCCCGCTGCGCCGGCCTGGTCTCCTGGCAGGCACTCTCTGGCGTGTGGGCTAGGCGCAGCGTGCTGCCCCCCAAGGCAGACAGAAGTGAGGCAGTCCCACGCCAGCACCCGGGCAGGTGTCCCGGCACCAGCTGGAGAAGGTCCCAGGGGCGTTGCACGCACAGAAACGGCATCCAGTGACTGGGCTCCAGCCATTCTCGGCATTAGAGCTCGGCCGGCGTTGGGGTGAAGCGCTGACGGTTCTACCGTCACCCCACAGCCCAGGGCAGACGGGTCACAGTGCAGAGCACGGGGCACCCCAGCAGGGCCTGGCACTGATCCCTGCTCAGAGCCTTCCCGCCAGCTGGCCCGGGCCTGGCCAAGGCTGCCGCATCCGCAGGTCCCAGTGCCATCGGCACAGAGTGCTGACAGCTCCACTGACCTCGGGCTGTGGCCACTAGGGCAGCCCAGAGAAGCCAGGTTCTTCCTCCAGGGATT